GGGCGCTAACACGGTTGGCCTGTGTCTGATTTGGCTAATGGTGGAGTTGTGAGGTTGGCAGGACTAGCTTGTTGGCCGTTTGGGAAACTACCGATCGGGACTAATAAGAGCAGAGAGAAAGGACGGCCATCTTGCCGTCATCTCTAAGATCAAATCCTACACTTGTCGTCTTACAGATCTTTCGATTTGAAGGAGAACTCCAAGAGGGGAAGATGAAAACGCAATTGGCGGTGCTTTCATCTGATGCAGTGTGTAATCTAACCACGGGAAGTGCTTCCCTCCCTTTCTCTGAGCCGGTGCTCTTCAGAAAGAGCTGTGATTTACACTGACGAAGAGCCTGTCAGTTTCTCTGCCGTTCCAGCAGCCTTTGAAACCGCTTTTTTATTACAGAATCTCAATTACTCAATTGCCGAGAGGGAATTTAAAACTCAGAGTGCTTTTCAATCAGGTCAGAGGGTTCTCCTGAGTACCGACTCTTGATTTTATGTTTCATCTTTGTTGTCTTGTTGTTGTTTTTCTTCATCCCATCCCCGATTGTATTCGCTCTTTCTGTCTTGTTTTTCATCATCAAACAAGGGCAAGACAGGTATTGATCCTCAGTTCTGTCATCTCGGCGAGGCGTTTGCACAAGTGCCCGTTTGAGTTTCAGCTCACGTTTTTCCATCAAGCCGAGGCGTCCGCAGTGGATGCCTGTGTTAATTAGGCCCGTGTCGTGTCGGGTGGGGTTGGGAGCATGGAAAAGACGGCTCTCCTCCCTTGAGCGCTCCCGCTGCTCGCTGGCATGTGGCAGGGAAAGCTAAATTAGTTTAGCGCCGTTATTTGCGGCCCCTGGAAGGGCACCAGTACCTGCGTTTGGGGGGTAATGAAAAGGACAACCTGTTCCAGAGTCGCTCCAACACAGGTGTTTGCTTTACCTTTAGCGGTACTTGCCAAAGATGAAGAGAAGCACAATTGCATTATACATCTCAATAAACAGCTTCTCTTGAGGCATATTGATTGATTATCCATCAAAACGACATCAAAAAGCAAAGCTTGTGCATGTGCGGCACGTCCTTGTCTGGCTCGAATCAAAAGCTTTGTCTTTTGGCTTCAGCGTTTGAACCGAGAACAGACAAATGGTTTCTTTTCAGCCCCTTTATATGGTTTCATCATTCGGTTCCTAATTAGGTTGTGTGAGAGAACCGTGACAGTGGCTTGCATCATCAGCCATGTTGGGATATGAATGAGTTTTGTAAAGCTTTTTATTGGCAACATCAAGAACCCTAGGCAAGTTACACTCACGGCTCACTGCCATGCGTGTTTTAACTAGTAACTAATTACACATTTTGACTGCAGGAAGTGGATTGTACACCTCCTGGTTTTATTCCATTTTATATGATGGATACTTCTACTTTCAGGTTTAAGATTACAAATGTTTGACAATTCCATAAGGACTTTTTTTTGTTCTTTATTCAGTGACCCGAGAAGAATTAAACGTTCTTGCAAAAATAATGACCCATTTCCCAAAAGTCCCGGCTGAAACTCACGTCATTGAGTTAGAAGTTGACATGTTTGGCCACTCAAACAAGCAGATCAATGTTTTAAAATAATGGATGCACGATATATCGGCCACCGTATCGGTATCGGCCGATATATGAACGTTTTTGGTGTTTTCGTTATCGGCCCGATAAGAAAATGGCCGATATATTAAAGCCGATAAAAAGTGTATTATTTCCTTCAGATGTGCACTGTTTGACATGCTGGTTTTGAATTGCTTGAAATATGATTGAAATCACTTCAAAAAAGGAAAATTTAGTTAGGCTAAGTGCAACGTGCGGCACACTTCTGTCTTATCGACTACGTAAAATTATAATGAGAACATTAGAATTGTGTGCTTGGGAAATGGCTTTAGGGATGCACGATATATCGGCCACATTATCGTTATCGGCCCAACAAGAACATTTAGCCGATATCTAAAAGCCGATAAATAATGTCCTTAAGCTGAGGCACTTTAGATGTGCACTGTTCAACATGATGCTTTTAAATTGCTTGAAATACGATTGAAATCACTTTAAAAAAGGAAAATCCAGTTAAAGTGCAAAATGTGCAGCGCAAGTCTGTCATATCGGCTACACTCACATTAAAATAAGAACATCATAATTGTGTTTGCATCTTGGCTTTTAATGAGGAAAATCAAAAATTGCCTAAAAATTTGGATTTAGATTTATCGGCCAAAATATCGGTTATCGGCTTTCAAATGTAAAGAATTATCGGTTATCGGTATCGGCCAAAATTGTCATATCGGTGCATTCCCACATGGCTTATAATGAGGCTCTCTTTATATTTATTGGCTAGTATTCATTATCGGCTTTTGAAATCTAAAGAATTATCGTTATCGGCCAAAATGTTCATATCGGTGCATCCCTAATTTTCAAAAGCATCATGACTTTTTAGTTGAATCTATACATTAAACTCGAGTTGTAGAAAACATTTAAACATCCAGTGGGATCACCTTTAATAAGCTAAAATGCTGTTTAGAAATAATTTAAAATGACTCAAAGCTCTTGAAAGTGTCATGAGAAACACAGGCTGATGAATGAGTGTGGTCGTGGAAGTTGGTCTTATCTTGGGTTCCAACAGCAGACGTTTGGAAAGCTTCCTGCAGGACACACTCCATGTTCCCTGGTGGACCGACGGATTACAGCAAACCACTGATTACCGTCCTCGCGTTCAACCATCTGTCTCCTCGGCTATTTAAGATGCAGCTCAAAGCTGGACTCATCCTTTTCAACTTAAGTAGCGCTTAGTTTTATTAGACGACCGCCAGTACTGCAGTTAAACCAGTTTGTGGTTCGAACAGTCTTTTATATGAATAGTTTAGAGTATTATGGGCAATGATTTTGACCTTTAATCACTGCCATTCTGTTCTAGTACTGTTCAAGACTGAATGAATGCAGAGCTAGATCTCGGGTTGTGCTTGATTGGTATTCTTGAGAATCTCTAATGGAAAATAGATCATGGGCATCTTTGACATTTTAAAAAGGTTTTCTGTTTCTATTTAAAGGTCTGAAAGATCAGTGACATTTGCAAAGTGTTAATTGTGTGATTTATGTCCACAGAAAAAAGATTATAGTAGTGAATCAGTTGTAAACTGCATATTGATGAATGTTTGACGTTTACTATGTTGTTTTGACTGTGTGATATCTTGATCCTGTTCAGCTTTATCGAGCCCAGTACTGACAACAAATCCAAATAAATGCAGAAAACGGTTTGTAATATTAACTTATCATTTTTATTCATGATAAAAAATAAAAATAATTCACTGTCAGGACAGACACATACAACATGTTCTTATAAATTGACAGATTTTTTTAAATATAAAATAGTTGTATCTAAAGAAAAGTATTGACACATTACATAGAAAAAGTGTCAGGTCTATTATTTTGCCTTTACACTCTAAGACTTAATGTACAGATAATTTGACACACAATATTCAATTTGTTTTGTTTCCGTCCATATAGCCTTGTTATCACTGTCAATTGCATTTGATTGCACATTTAAATACGGTTAAAATCCAGAAAGGATAGTTAGCAGCATGAAAAATATATAATTGCATACAGAAAGATAGCAAAGATTGCTGCCGTTATAATCACTGAAGCTGTCGAGGTACACAAAGCTGCTGTCTTGCGAAAACTCCTGTTATAATCAATGAAGCTCTAAGCTGTGCAGGGAATCTCTAATTGACATCGTGTTTATACTTTGTTGATAATGAAAGGATTCATGAGCGTGAAAAACTCGTGCTGAACAAAAACTCTTCCATTTTGCCTAATTTGCCTAATCTGATTGGCCATTCCGTTCACACGCTTAACATATAGGCCTATGTCTGTGATTGGCTACAAAGATGAATGCTGCAAAAACATGTTGTAAATGATGCCTTTGATGCTCTTCACAGAGCACAAACACTCACGGGAGCGTTTCTTCACAGCAGATGGGCATCAGCGGGAACCTGTACCGCAGAACGGCAGGTACATGGTCACATAAAATGATCAAATCTTTGGCGGGACAAAGATTCATTTTGGCAGCCACCAAAATATTCTCAAAAATAGGAAAAACCCTGATTTTGTAAAAAAAAATAAAAATAAAAAAAAAACACAATTTGGATATTTGTTTTTTGCAAGACTTTTTGCAACATGTTTTTGAATAAAAAAAAAACGATCTAAGACCTTTTTGGGTTCTGGTCCAATCTGTTGTGCCTAGTCCAGCTGGCATGGACATCTGATGCTTGCCTTGTTTTGAATATTTAAATTTAATATTTTGACACTGTGGTTAACCTTTAGGGTTTAAGTCTACAAGCTGAGTAAAATGGTTTTGCAACAACACTATTTTTGACTGACTTTATCTTTATTTTTTCTTAGCTTTCAATTCTTTTTAAACTGAGATGTGGTAGGCTTAGTATGCTGTTAACAATGCACTGTCAACTTCCTAAAATCATGTTAGCATGTATTTCAGCGTCAGAATTGTTTTCAACTTGACATTGGTTTGCATTCAAGCTATATTGATGACCCATCAAGTAAAAATTTGACTTGATTTCCAAAGACCGTCCAGCTTTTTTTTAACGCAGTGTCCTGTGTGAATAACCTAATTGGTGTAGAAATATATCACTGTTACTCTACAACAGCCTAATTATAGTGGGCTTGATAATTCTTACATAATTCTAATATAATTATTGTGGAGTGTAGGGATGTCCTGATTCGATACTCAGGAGCCGATAAACTAGTTTAAAAATAAAATAAAATATCGGATTAATATCGGTAACGGCAAAAGCCAAAGCTTCGGTATCTGAAGTGAAAAAGTGGTATCGGGACATCCCTAGTGGAGTGGTACAGCTTTCAAAGCCTGTATATGGAAAACAAAGTCGACATAACTAAACCTGTTTTATGAGAGCAATGTTGTGTCAAATGGCATTAAAACATCGTATTTTACTACTTACTTAAATATTTTCTCATTGTTTCTTCCCCCAGGGCAACAATGTGGGTTACTGGGAAGGGGAAACCGACAGGACCCTGAGGCATTTGTAGATGTGCTTCCCGACCGCCTCAGTCGTCTGAGAAGGTCAGACCTCCCTGTGGCACGCTTGGGCCGCTGGCACTAAGATGTCCCTCAGTAGTGGCACTGCAGGCGGGAAAGGTGTGGACTCGAATGCGGTGGACACTTACGACAGCGGGGATGAGTGGGATATTGGCGTAGGAAACCTGATTATTGACCTCGACGCCGACTTAGAGAAAGACAAGCTTGAGATGTCTGGCACCAAGGACGGGGACGGGATGGCTACTGCCTCGAGCGCCGTAGCGGCATTGCCTGACAACATTAAGTTCATTAACCCGGTGCCTCCTCCTCCGATCAAGGACAGCAAATCCAAAGCTAAGCGTAGCAAGAATTCCAAGGACAGTAGCAAGTCCTCGACCCCTGATGGGGGCAAGAAGGACGCCCAAGGACGGACTCAAAATGAGGGCACTGGGGCAACCGCAGGAAGCGGTTCCACGACCTTACCTTCTGGGAAAGGCTCTGATAAAAGTAACAAGGCCTCCCGTAATGTTCAGAGTGGGAAAAAGGACAAGGACGGATCAGGGAAAAGCAAGAAGGAGAAAAACGAAGGGGTACAAGTTGGGAACGTGCCCTTGGATAAGGACCCATCGGCCCAGGTTATGCCTTTAGGCCAGGCACGCAATACCCCATTTGAGGGGACGCAAAATTCGAACCTCGGTGGTGCTGATCAACTAGGGAATATTACCCTTGAGACCAGTGGAATAGTCACACCTTTGGCTATCAAGAGCGAACCAGAAGAAGTGGAAAATAATGACTGCAGGAGCATGAAGAAAGTAAAAAGTGAGAAGGTGAGTCCACTGGTGTTTTCATTTCTCTATCATTGGGAAACCATTGTTGTGTTAGCTTGAATGGATTGTTTCCATTTATTAAGCATCTGGTTGAGTATTATGAGCAACTTCTACTGTTTAGAAATGTACCAGAGAGTTAGTGGTAACTGACATACTCTGGTGTGATAACCTGTTTCCTTTTGGCACTAGTCCATTTTAAAAAGAGGAAAACTGACATGCTTGGCTCAGTGGTCTCGATCTCCAATTAGTAATGCATAGAGCTGCCAAAAGAGATTTAGGACAGCGGCCAGATAACCAGAGGTACAAGAATATGAACTCCCGGAACATCCACCTTGTATACAAGAATTTAACCTCTTTAAGGCTAATAAGTTGATCTTACCAATTGTTGTTAACCAAATAACCATATTGTGAACGTGTTAAGCCTTTCTCTTGTAGAAACGCCGGTTTCAAGCGTCAGATATCTTCAAAGTTGTCGGATCAAAGTTCTTGTTGCTCATTCTTGTTTGAGTTGTTGGCTGATTGTAGGGGTTTTCTCAATTATTCATTGCACTCAATTATCAGCCTCCAAGTTCGTAAGGAGTTTTGGCAGCTAGTTTGAAGCTTGATCTCTCATGTTAAAACACGAATCCATGCCTCCACAGATTGTTCTTTAGAAGAATGTAGAGTTTGGCTTAATCCCCATATGAACGGTACACTTTTTCTTTTGCAAACCCTTCAAAGATCATTGCAGACTAATGCATAAATGGGATGGTGTTTATCTTAAATAAGAAGTCTTCGTAGTCATTCAATTCTGGAAATGCATTGCATTGCTTTTAACTGCTAAGCCTGGCCTGTGCATTACAAACTGAGAGGATTGACTAGCGGATCTGCTTACTAAAGATATAAGAAATTCTTTGCGAGTGACTCAGTCAGTAGTTGTTCAGTCTCACAGCATTGTGTTCCCTACCTAGTGGGTCTCGGGGGAGCCATTGAAATGTAACACTTGGACCCCTTGCTTGCTTTCAATTGTGACAGGCAGCCAAATATAGGCTACTGGAAAGAGCAACAAGGGGGTTTCTTTAGAAGGAATTTATGGAGATCTGATTGTAATGTCCTTGAACGAGTTTAGGTTTTTGACTTGATGAAGGTGAAAGGCTTTTTAAACAGACTTTGTTTTTATGTTGTTGTTTTTCCAAGCCTGTCTCATTAGTGTAGTGTTTTAGTAAGGTGATTTTCTATAAAACATTTAAAACATTCTCTCTAAAGATAAAAATTTTATGCAAGTAAATGAATGCAGACAATACACTATATTTATTTCCCATGCTGCTGCTTTCCGAAACGCTTCAGACGCTTGGCTTTCTCAGAAAACGTGGTTTATGGTGGTCATTAGTGTGAATCATTCTCTTATAGTTTTACTCTTTCAGATCTGTTTTGGCGGTGCAAAAGAAAAGTGACTCTACCTTGAGAATGTTACTTGAATTATTTATCAAATTTACAGTAAACATGCTATCTACTAAAGAAAGCAATAACTCCTAAAGTATTACAGCAATCTATTCCCACTTTTTTTTTGGCCGAGAACAGTTAACATTTAGTGTCGTACAGGTGAAACTCAAAAAATGTGAATATCGTGCAAAAGTTAGTTTTATTTCATTAATTCAACTTAAAAGGTGAAACGGATATATTACATAGATTATCATTACAGCTTATGAAAACCAACTTTGAATTTGGGGTTTTCATAAGCTGTAATCCATAATAATCAAAATTATAACAAATAAAGGCTTGAAATGTCTCACTTTGCATGTAATGAGTCTATATAAAATATTAGTTTCACTTTTGTACGATATTCAAATTTTTCGAGTTTTTTCACCTAAATACTTGCATTGCATTAGCTAAGTAATGACGTTTACATGCTTGCAATTCTGGTTTAATTCTTAAGTTGAAATTGAACGTTTTTGATTTAGTCTTAAGGGTAGTTTTTGTTTTGCTTGATTTGTTCCTGGAGGTTAGAAAAGCCATTTGAAGCTTTGTCCCTGGTAGAAACCTTTCTGTTGGCACTGTAGTGATTTGCGACCAATGGCCTCCATTCATGGCTTCCTCTGACTGCCACTATTGTCTTCTGGTACATTCCTTAAACAAGCACAGGGGGTTCACTTGGGGCCTTGGGGGGAGGAATGACAACAGCTCAAACAAAACACCAAATACCTCTTCCTCATGCCTCTGAACAACCAGATCTCGAGGTGTGAGGAAGGGATGTTATCGAGTGTCAGGGAGGGGGACCAGACCGGCTTTTTTAACCGTCTTGAAAGTGGTTTCACATTTCCTCGTCCCATGATGCGGGCGGGGCGCTGTGGGCTCGAGCCGTTCGATGGCAGACGGCTGGTTTTCCCATCGTGCAGGAATGCAGGAGTGCTAGTACCTGCTGCTAGCATATCCACTAATATAGCACTCTCAGTCGTAATCGCCCTGAGAATAACGCAAGCTAATTTAACCCATCTCTGCGGTTATTTCACGAGGGGGAGCGACCTTCTTTAATAAGGCACTTCCAGTCATGGACTAAATCAGCGTTTGATATAATCTGCTGCTGACAATACGCCAACCCTGCTTATCAGAAGCACACTTTTGTGATGCTAAAGGTTACATATTTGTTGTACCTTATATTTTAAGGAGATTGGCTTTCGTTCGGTTTTAAAATTAGTCACGTTTAAGCAGAGTGTGTGTTATTTCACTTCTGTGAAATCAGTGCTATATAGATTTATTTTTTAATTTATTATTATAATATTGGTTGATATTGTAGCCTAGCCTACTGACCAATATTGGATAATTAACTGTGAATGATAATTTCTCACTTGAAAATGCTCACTTGCTTAATTATTAAAATGCTAATAATAAGAAATTAGCATTTAAAAACCATTGATTTTCCTCAAATAAATTTAAAATTGCATTTATCGGTTATTAGTTGCCCGTGTTTCAGCGTTGTTAGCAGATATTCTCTTTGAATATCAAATTTCATTCAGAAGCGCCTCATGTTAAGTGAGTTGTGAATGCCGTTTTACATTGAACATGGTGTAAGGAACATATGACTACTGTTGACACTGAAACCATGTGCTCGCCATCATCCGTTATAGCCGTGTTGATTCAGCAGTCTGCATTTCTGACCCTAAATATAGAGGCGATCGCTATGAGACGGCACAAAACGCACTGTGGATTTGGCCCAACAGCGAGATCAGAGCGCACGTCGTAACTCTTACTGACGTGAGTTGCTAAGTTTATTGCTCCATCGCATGGCGATCCAGGAAATCCTTTCTGAGGGTTATGTCGTGTGTGCAGATCTTTAATATTGGGATTTTTGCTGCTCATAAACTGTGTTTTCCAACATCTGGTGCTTCGCTCGAGTCGAAAACAGGCCGACCGTGGGTTCACACCCAATGTTATTGGCTCAAGTGGGGAATCAGCTGCCATTGTAGACTACATCTCAGTGGATTTGTTAGACGGCCAGTGAATAAACCGTCTCAAGATAATCCAGATTTATAGAGCTGGGTGTGATGTAACGCTTGTCTGCACATGGTGGTGTCATTGGTTCAGGAAAGCCACCTGAAAGAGGAGCTTGCTCCAATATTGCTCCTACTCTACAGATAAAGGGTTGTGGAAATTAGGGTTCACATACCAACCCAGAAGTGATCAAATAAAATAAAATTCTGTATCAAATTGTATAGGCAAGACAAGTAGTTTGTTTAGGCATGGTTTGTAGGGGATTACAAACCTGCGCACATAACTAAAGAATCAGTTCTTAATGCGCATGTGAACGGCATCAGCGTTTATCACAGGTTCAGTTTAAAGAGAGAACGGTGTCGTCTTAGCCGTCCCTAATTTAATAACAAACGATCATTTCGACGGAAGCGAATCTATCAAAATTAACTTTAGCTGGTAAATGACATTCAAGAACCGCTATAAAACCAAACCAATCTCTGTTACCTTAAATTATGTTTATCTCTGTAAAGCTGCTTTGAAACAATCTACATTGTTAAAAGCGCTATATAAATGAGGATGACTTGACTTGGTTTTAACACTATGGAATTAATCTCATCATAACCATTCTCGTTTAGAGATAACAGTACCTCAGATTTTCGTGCAAGCGCCCAGCCAGGTTCTCTTCAGGAAATGTAATCTGGTTAAACCACACGATCGTATATTTTTTTTGGCAGTAGATGGATTAGTTCGGCTTTTAATCAATTTAAGGCTTTTAACTTGGGAATGTTGTAAAACCATATGAGCTTTTTTTGCTGATTGTTTGCTGTATTGTTGCCGTAAAGGTGACACTTTTTTTAGTCCCATCCCTCTGGGTTTTAAGCTTTCGAGAGTGCGGATTCATAATCCCTGGGGACGCATTAAGCTTTTCTTCGAGCTGCTCTTGGCAGATGTTTTTGTTTCCTAGAACCTTATCAAAACACACCAGCTTTGGTGTAAACGCTCGATGCGTTATCATTAGCGTGATGTGCTGTGTACTTATTTTAAAGCTCGTCGGCAGAAGTGCCACGGCACCGATCCGTCAGCCCACACTCTCTGGCTCGCCGAGCTCCATTTTAAGGGATGCTGACAGGAACACGGATTGATTTATAGTGTCTCTTTTTCTCCCTGTCAGAGGGTTGATCTTGTGCTAGTAAATACTCAGGTTATTTTCCCCCCTTAACACTCATTTCGTTATTTGGAGGAAGTGTGTTCCCCGAGGCGATCTCCATATGCGAAGGCTTTCGTTTGTTCCGAAAGGTATAGTTTTGGTGTAATCCTGTCTTACATGCTGAAAACGGGATTAGATTCACATTTATCGTTATGCGATGGTGTTGAGCACAATCTCTCTACTCTCTTCTCTCAATGTTAGAGAGCCTTCCTTTGAAAAAATCACATTGGGTTGCTTGTTTTGCCTGGTGCGTAATTGCTACATCCTCACCAATAAATCCAGCGGGAGACAGAAACGGGGAGGTGGGAACCGTTCATTCGTGATGGCCTCTCTCTCTCTCTCTGCT